ACTATTTGGGAAAAGATGTATTGTGCCAGGTATATGGAGGACCATACTTACATGAAGTATAACCTTTTGGTTCTTTATTGTAATAGCTTTAAAAACATAAAAATGTTTATTATATGTGGTAAAGCACATCAAAATTGGTCCCTGTTGTGTGGAATGGCAGTAGCAATGAAGAATGAAGGACCAGGTTTTTGACAAGGCAGCGATCTTTAATATAAAACTTTAAAAATTTTTTTTACTGAAATTATTTTGTGAGTCACTACTAGAATGCAAATAATGCACAAATGCATGTTATAAAAAACAACAAACTGATCTCCAATGCGTTTTGTTTATCCTAGATGCCCATGTTCACATCATGTGAGATGAAACTGACCATGTAAATGAAGCACCTAATATTAGCTGTTTGGACCAGGGGTATGACCTGTTTCAATGGCAGTTGACTACTATTCTTTTCAGTGACCTAGGAGGTAGTCCCAGAAACAGTCCACTTACATAGATATGCTACTTAGGTTCTTTCTCTGTAGATATCTGAATGTGATACGTTAAGAGAAAGCACATAATGGGTAGAGTAGAGAGGCAAAAGCTAAACAGAGACAAAAGAAAAGCAGCAGATACCACGAGGTAGCAGAAGAGAGGAGTAAATTAATGAGAATGGAGAAAATTGGATGAATTAGAAAGTTACAAACAAGGACAAATCAACAGAATTTGATTCATCTTAGATGCAGGAGATGAGGGAGCAGAGAGTGAAGTTTGTTAGTTTACTGATTTGGGCAATAGATGATGGTGATGACTTTCTTTGAGCAAGGCAATGTTTGAAGAGGATTAACTCATTTTCAAGGAGGAATATGAGATACCAGTGGGACTTCCAAATAAAGATGTACGTGGGCAGTTGAATGTTCATGTCTAGATCTTAGAAAAGTGCTCTAGTGTTCCAGAGTTATAAGTTTATGTATAAAGGCTTGGCATTGTGACTTTCAGAGATAGGTAGGTAACAGTTTATTTTTTATTTCCACAGTGCCAAATTCAGGAATATACTTGGATGATGCTGTGTTAGCCTAGGGAAGTTGAAAAAATTTTATTCATGTTTAAATATCCTCCATAATTTATAGTAGCTGTCATACTGTATTCTGCATAACTGAGATGGATAAACTAGACTACCTAGGTGAAGTGGGATCTACAGAAGGCTATGGATAGGACAAGTCCAGCCTTATGTATATAAGCCTAATACTATGAAAGAAAGTTTCCAGAAGGTCTGATGTTTTGTATTCCAGAGGGCTGAGTATCAGGAAGGTTTAGAAACTTACACTTTCATTTCAGCTGATAATGTAACTAATTCTTTTATGTTTCCCTTACATACGTAAACTCAAGTGGTGTCTGTGATGTGATATTTCTGTTAATCTGGACTTTTCATTGGTCTTTGTCAACATGGGGGTTATATAAGGGTAATATATACCACTATATAACCAATATATATGGGAGATATATCTATCTCTCTATATATAGATATATAGATATATGCCACTATATATCCTATGGGGGTTATATGAGGGTAATATAAGTACTAGATTGGTAGTAATTGAAGCCATCGATCTGCTAAAGATCATTCAAAATTGAACAGAACAGAAAATAGAAGTGTGGGAAACACTAATATGTAAGGAATAGGAAAAAGAAAAATTTTAAAGGAGATTGAATGAATTTTGGTAATATCTGAGGGACTGAACAATTAGAAAAGTACATAAAGTAATATTTGTGTTATGGTTTGTGTCTAGATATCCCCCCGCCAAGGCCTCATGTGGTCATAAGTAGCTTTTTCAGAGGTGGCTGAATCTAGAGTATGTGATGCTGGGGTTAAGGACATGTGATTACTAAACCAGTACACTTGATTGGTTTGGCACTGCCCTAATCCCAGTAGTCTGGATAAGATAAAAGGGGCAGAAAGACGCTGGTTCCCTTGTTGTTTTGCTACCTTAGATCCTCCATGAACTGTTGCCACTCTGCATGTGCTACTCTGCCTTGGAGCCAGGCAACTGTGGACTGAAACCTTTACAAACTGTGAGCTAAATAAACCTGTCCTCCCTTACTTGTGGGTGTAGGGTGTTTTGTCTCAGCAATGAGAAAAGTAACTAAGACAATTTGTATTTCATCATTAAACAGAGGTAGATATTTCACAATGACATTAAACACATTTTCTTATATTCTATGAATACATGGCTCATTGTTAAATGAATAAATTTTCTAAAAGATTCATAACAAGAACTAAAAAAAGGCACAGCTTTTCTAATTTTCATGTAGAAGTTTGAACATCAGGAACAAAACTCAGTGGTAATTAAATTTGTAGAAGTTAATGACAGAGTGTGAGTGATGACCATCAAACAGTTCTCTTTTACTAACACCTATTTAAAACATTTGTCTCTGGATTCAATCCCGAGCACCTGTAATAACAATAATGATAATAAAATTTAAACACTCAAAACTTACTGTATGCCAAGTATTGTGCTTTACCTGCACTGTCTCATTTAACTTCATAACTACCTCATGAGGAAGGCACTTTTATTTTCTTCTTTTACAGCAGTGGGGAAGTACATAATAAGGATGAGTGAAGATCAGAGAGTTTAAGCAATTTGATAGAGTAACCCTGGTACTAACCAAAAGAGCTGAGAATCACGTGTAGGAATTTTTGACTTCAGCGCCTGGAACTTAATTAGTATGTGATTATGCTGTGAAAACATTATTTATGGTAATAAAAGTTAAATTTATCAGGTAAATAATAATATAATTTTTATTGAAGACAAATTTTGCTGTCAGTTTTTTTCCATACCAACATACCAACATTTATAGGGTGTATGCTACAATTTTGAAAATATACAGTATATTCTCGACACACTTGAAAACAAAAATATGTATTTGAATTTTTTTTGCTAGTAATGGAGAAATGACTTTTTTGGTATGCTAACTCCTAAGTTTAGCTCATTTCTCAACTTGTAGAAAAAAATTTTTTTACCCTTGGTAACTTGGTTAATATTGGCATAAAACCATATACTGATTCTGGGAGAGTACAGTCTTTCTGGGCACATATACATAGATGGCTATTTTTATTTATTTTTTAATTTTCATCTTTTGCAGTCTTGGGGATCAAACCTACTGACTCACACAGGCTAGGCAAGTGCTCTACCACTGAGTTGCATCCCCATTTATTTTATTTTATTATTCTTTAAAGACAGTCTTGGTAAGTTGCCCAGGCTGTCTCTGAATTTGAATTTGTGATACTACTGCCTCAGCTCCTGGGTATCAAGGATTCCAAGCATGTTGTCACCAACCCAGCTACCGTCTTTTTTCTTTTTTAAAGAAAATTTCAGAATTCTAGAAATTGGTACTTGTTGCACCTTAGTAAGAAAACTTTGGCTTTTCAAATCATCGTTAAGTATTTTTTAATTAGTGAATTCTAACTACATTTCCTCAACTCTATATAACGCAGATTTGAAAGACTCTGAAGATAATTTTGAGTCAAACTACTAATAATAAAAAATTTAAATTTAAAAGAAAAGTTGTCTATATGGGGAAAGACATTGAGCAAGAGCTTGAGCAGATTACTAGACCTATTATTTGAAGATTTTTTTTTTTTTTTTTGGTACCAGGGATCGAACTCAGGACTTTGAGCTTGCGAGGCAGGCGGTGGAACCACTGAGCTAAATTCCTGGCCCTTAAGATCCCTCCCCGCGACTGTCTGACAGATTCCATCTGAGCTTCCCCCCCTCCCCGCCACGTTTACAGGCTTTAATACATGAAGCTCACAATATAGGAACTGTCCAGCTTTTGTTTCTCATAAATTTTGTGAGGCAGGCACCGGAACCACTGAGCTAAGTCCCTGGCCCTGTTTCTCACAAATTTTGTGACACGCACAAATGACCCAAACTACTGTTCTAGGAGCTGCCTATGATTACCACATCTTTTCTTTACTTATCTGAAGGAAAAAACCGAAGTTATTTTGCTTACTGCTCAGCACCTGCAAAATGTCTTGGGGAAAAATAGACTAACTTGGATCTTTGGAGAGGCCACAGATGAAAATTTAAGCTTTTGACACATTTGCCACCTTAGCTCTACTGATGGTATTTTTACATTGGCTCTTTATTTGAGCCTCAAAACTCATTGTATTACAGTATTTTCAACAAATGTTTACTGTTTCCAGGCACTGGAGATACACCACGAAACAAACAGAAAAGAATAGGAAAAAAATAAGTGAAGCCCAACTGGCCTGAGTTTCCTTTTAATGTGGAGAGATGGGCAATAAACAGGGAGGGCACATTGCAGGAATTTTCTTTTTTACTATCAGTGAGTGACACAAAACGCTAGCAGAAGTTTCAGAGCCGAGGGTAGTCTTGCTTGCCATTTTACAAATATGGAAAATAAGAGCCTACTCCTCAGTGCGTGGACTAATGGCACTTGGTACAAACCCTTGGAGAGCCTGAATTTAGGTCCGGGAGTGTGTGTGGGAGGGATTAACAGGAAGTAGAAATTGATTTGGAGTCATTACTACAGAGGGTGGCAGAGGCAGAAACGAAAAGGAACGACACAAACTGAAGAGGTGGAGTGGATCAATGTGCTTGCCCAGCACGAGCCAGGCCCTAGGTTCCATTCCCAACACAGGGGCGGGGGGGGGGGGGTAAAGTTAAAATTAATTCAACACACCAAAATAGAATGTAACATAAACGTACGTCAAGAGTATCCCGGGGCTCTGTTAGACACTTGTCACCAGAAAGGAGGCAAATTTCGACGTCGCGCACTCTGCCCTTTGCCTACTGGAAGGCCGGGGTTGAGTCTGGGCACACGTTGTCATCCGGAACCCGGCCGCCGAGAGCCCCGCCCACTCCGCCTCGCCCCCTCCCACCTCGTTCCACCTCATCCCTCAGCGCCCCGCCCCACACCGCAGCGCCTCTCCACCCGGGTTGGCCGCCACGGGGGCGGTGGCCACGGTGCCCGGAAGTGTGGCTGACGTGTCCGGGCCGCGCTCGGAATTGTGGGCGACTCGGCTAATGGCGTCGGCAAGCCTGAGGAGCCTGAGGAGCCTGAGGAGCCTGAGGAGCCTGAGGAGCCTGGAGAGCCAGAGCTGAAGCTCCTCACTCGGTTGACTGGTGACGCCTAGTGTGGCTGGGCCCGCGACAGCGGGAGGGACCTGCCCGGCTGGTAGGCTTCTTGGCCAGCGCTGGCGCAGCCTAGCTGGGCGGGACGACTGCGGGGGCGCCTCCGTCTGGATAGGGGGTGTTACGAGGAGGCTGCGCGGGGCCCTCGGCTTGCTCCGGGTTCGCAGCCCAGGCCCGGCAGAGTCCTGTGAGCCCAAGAGGCGAGCTGCACCCGGGCCTGGGGGCGCCGGAGGGGAGCTGCGCGTCGCCCAGAGGAGCTGACAGTGCCTGAGCTTGCTTGTGTAGCTCAGAAATCTGCTCGGACCTGGGGGGATCATGTCCGGCACCAACAGCCCCGAGGCGGTGAAGAAGCTGTTGGAGAATATGCAGAGCGACTTGCGGGCCTTGTCACTGGAGTGCAAGAAGAAATTCCCACCTGTCAAAGAGGTAAGCTCCGGCCGTAGTCAGGAGGAGGCGCCGTGAGCACCCCTGGTCCGGTTGGACCCAGTCTTTTACCCCGGCCTCTGCCCTCTCGCTTTCTTTCCGTGCTCACCTTTGCAGATTGGAATCGGTGGGGTGTTCCACAAGCGCTTTTTGTAGTTTCCGCTTGAGAGGTCTGAGACTGATTACTGATTACTGATTACTTCCACGCTCCTGTCTTCTTGATTTTGGAATGAAGTTCGTGGAGTAAGCCGATTCAGTTAATTCAGCTAGGTGTGTTGAACCCCCCTTTTTTTGACCCTTTTAAAAACGCGAAACTGGTCAAACCAGAGTTGAAAAACTTACGTGTTTTGCTCCTAAAAATTAACATCACCTATTATGCTGAAATCTGTGGTCTTCGTGCAGATAATGTATCACTCAGAAATAGCTTTTCTTTTTAGGATGTGTAATTCAGCTTACTGAATTAATGTGTAAGCTTACTTACACATTGTTAATAAACTATCCAGAGCCACCTAATTTACAGCAAATATTAAAGACCCACAGTGACTATGTTAAACCTTGTTTTGAACAGTAATGTAGTGGGAAGTTTGGGCTGGGGGTCAAAGCAACTACTGTCTATCTGAATTTAAGTTCTAGCAATATATTTTATCCTCTTGCAATTTCAGGATTTTTATCAGCTATAAAATAGTTAAATTGTGGTTTTATAAGATTATGTGTGGAGCGGAAAAGGATATTATAAGAGAAGCTCAAGTTAATATGTACAAATAAAATTCTTTCTCCATAATAGTTCCTGAATTGAAATTTTTAACATTTAATCACTGTTGACTTTTTCTTTTAAGATGCCGTGTTAACTCTTAAAGTGTTAAAAAAAAAAAAACTCCTTAATTTTTTTTCTTATTTTTTGAAATTAGATATTTTAGCGATATTATTGTACAATTTAAAAATTTTTATTTCTCCTTAGTGTAGTTTGATCTACCTGCAGTGTAATGTAGTATTTGCTCTAAAAATTTGCCAAAGGATTTATTTCTATGGTATTTAAATGTTTTGCTTCATTATTATAAAGATTCTATAATTAAAACTTGACTAAGAAAATTTGGATTTTAGGCTTCTAATGAATTTTAACTTTTTTGTTAGTGTTTTGGTTCTATCAGGATTTTTGTTTTTGTTTTTAAAATAGGGTCTCACTGTGCAATTCAGGCTGGCCTTGAACTCACTATGTGGTCCTGGCTGGCCTCAAACTCACAGTGATCTTCCTGCCTCAGCCCCTAGAGTGCTGGGCTATGGGTGTGGATTACAGGTGTGAGCCATTAAGTCCAGCGTGATTCTATCAGTTTTTAACAAATTCTCTTGTGTTTCTTTAATAAACACAGTGGAACCTGGTAATGGAAGCCAGGTGGGCCATTTTGGGCGATAGCTACTATACCTTTTATTTCAGGTATTTAATCAATAGTCTTTGCTTTGATACTGATTTTCATTATATCATCTGTTCAAAGTAATAAGTAATTTTAAAGAACTAGTTTGTTTTAAAGAATTAGGTTGTTTTAATTGTAAGAGAAACTCATTTGTAAAATATCAAATCCTGTTTTATAATTTCAGCAACAATTACTAGAACTGACTTTCCAGTTCTAATAATTCATATACAAAGTGTGGTTCTTCTGTGTTATAGGCCTTTGTGGGCTAACTTGAGAATTTAATTGCTATTATTATGTTGTTTCTACTGGAAAATGTATTCAAAGTTTTGAACAGGTCACTTACAAAGTTCTAGGACTCAGTCCGTTTCTCATCTAGGGACCTTCATTAAAGCTAATAAGCTTTTACTTGAAAACTGGCTAGAGAAATATTTAGTAATTATGCCTAGTCTTTGCTGTACAGTGAAAATAATTCTTGTGATTATCTCTGATACATAATTTTATATATAGTGCCTGCTGTATAAGAATTTATTGAATGAAAGAATCTTGACTTCTTAACCAGTGGTACTTATTTAGGGCTCTACTTTAAGAATTGAGAATTTACTTTGTGTCACAGGTTTAAAATAAGGATGAAATAATTAGCCTAATAGTGGTGATTGCTTTTAGAGGAAGGCTTGACCTTCAAGAAATATTTTGGGAGAATTAAAGTTTCCCTGGTAAATTAATAGCAATGGCAGTTTTTGAGTCTTGTTCTATAGGGTGCTAGGTAACCATAAGGCAAAGCCTTTTTTAAGTATAAGAAGCTTTTCCATCTGTAGATTTGTTTGCTAGTTAATAATCTCCAGGGTCTTTATGTTGGGTCTTTATAGGGTCTTTACAGGTATTATCAGAAAAATACTTATTTTGAAGTACTCAAGAACTTAATATAATACAGATCAATTGCATATGGGCTTTCAAAGATAGGTCTCCTTCTCCAGTACTTTTACAGTAATTTAGAATGAAGTGAGATCTTTTATTTTTAGTCTTTATATGAAAAAATTTTTTTATTTGTGGTTCTGGGATTGAATTTGGGACCTTGTGTTTGCTTGTGAGGCAGGCGGCAGAACCACTGAGCTAAATCCCCAGCCCTATATGAAAATTTTAATATTAGTACTTTTTTGGTTATAATACTTAGCTGTAAACTGTTTTAATAAGCTGAATTTTTAAGATTTCAAATTTGTTCAAAGAACAGGAGAAGAGTACTAATGAGTCCTGTCTTATTTATTGATACTTATTTCCTATCTTTGGATTTTGCTACATAGTGTTCCCTACTTTATTTTTTTCATTTATAAATCTCTTCTTTGCATAAATTGTTTCTTGTAGTGGCTATAATTTCATTCTGTTATTTAAAGGTAGCGGTTAAATAATAACAGCAATAACCTTTTTTTTTTTGGTACCAGGGATCGAACTGGGGTCCTTGCGCTTAAGCAGCAGGCGGCGAAACCACTGAGCTAAATCCCTGGCCCTTAACAGCAATAAATTTATTCCCCCTTTTTTCCTGCTTATTTTGCTTTTCTTAGTCCTTAAATATAAATTTTCATGCTTCAGAGTAGTTTTTGGTACAACTGAAGTAGCTGATTTGTTTGCAGGTATTTATATGAATTTTTTCTTTGCTTTAAAAATGACTTTGAAGCCTTCTAAAGTCATTTTTATGTAATTGATTTCAGTGGCCTCCAGAGGCAGTAACCTGAAGTTTTTTGTTTATGTATTTCACAAAATACATTTCCTGTTTGCCAGCACTATGCTGTGGAAACAGCTGAGGGTGATCTAACTGAGCCTGAAAGTGTGGTCAGAGAAAGTTTGTCATCCTTGAGCTGAGTTTTGTAGGATGAATAGAAGATGGGAGGTGGGGAGTAGGTGTTATGCTTGCCAGAAAAAATAGCATATATGGTTTATAGTTCATGTAAAATAAATTTCATATTCAAGATGATTGGGAGCAGTTAAAACTCTTTGAAGCTTTATGACTAAACTCATTAGTCACATCTTGACATTATTAGTGGCAAGAACTAGAGGGTATTGAGATTGAGACAAAGAGAACAATTTTTAAAAAGTGATGATTGCCTGTATTAAAGCTGTTGTAGAAATAAACAGGAGATTGCTTGCATTGAGATAGGAGTGAAAGAGATTTAGCAGATGAAATTATCAGATTATGGTAACCTTTTAGAGAATAGAGTGAGTGAAATCTGTGATATCTCCTAGTTCAGTGATGGCGAACCTTTTAGAGCTTACAGTGATACAGCTTGCTGCAGGTGTGTGCTGTAGGTTTGTCACCACTGGCTTGGGAAATAGGTAAATTGCTAAGAAAAAGAATACAGGAAAAAAAGGAAATGTTTTGGGGGAAAATGAGTAGTCATGAATATATTAAGAAGTAGGTGTGTCATCCAAGTGAAACTGCCCAGTATGTGTTTGAAAAAGATAATCTTAGCACATAAGAGGGAACTCTAGAATCTCAAATTTAGGAGCGTGAGTTAATGTATATTAGTAGCTATAGGAATAGATGAGGTAGGCATAAGAGTGTATAGCGTGAGAATATCAGGGCTGAAGAAGGAACTTTGGGAGACTATAGCATTGACAGGAAGGAAAGGCAGTTGAGTAGGCTAAAGTTAAAGATATAGAGGGAGAGTCTTACTAGAACGAGGCTCCTGAGAAAGCTAGGGTTTCCTAAGTATGTGAACTGGATTTTAATCTGAGAAGGGAAACATCTTCTGTCACAGAAAGGACAAAGAAAAAAATGGGTTTGAATGTCATAAATTTAAAAGAGGGGGATAGTGGAGAGATTGGAAGTTTGGGGCAGTTTGGCCTGTGGCTTCTGGTGTCTTGGTAAGATGGAGAACAAACTTGTTACTAGAGGTAATTAGTGATAAAAGAAGTGGTGCGTGGGAGCTTAGAGGATAGCTGTGGATCACTTTGGAGAAATAGAGGAAAATTAGACTTGGAACACTTAAGAGTCTTACTAGGAAAAGTGATTGAAATGATGGATTGTGAGATCTGGGTTGGATTCCCAAAGAAAGAAACCCAGTGCCTTTGATTAGCTGGAAAAAGTCCATGGGTTTAAGGGACTAGCAGTGCCAATTTAATCAAAGAGCAGTGGGGTTGGAAAGTGAGAGCTAAATAGGGGTCAAGACAATATACAAATGCAGATGAATAAATACTGACCACATTCTTGGTGCTGTACTTTTGTGACAGGGAAGAATAGACATTATCTCTGACTTGTGAATCAGAAAGGAAATCATACTTCAAAAACTGAATTATTTCCCTTTATTTTCTTTTGTATAAGATAGTTTATTCAAAATAGAGGGTTTTGGGCCAGGGATTTAGCTCAGTGGTTCCGCCGCTTGCCTCGCAAGCATAAGGACCCAAGTTTGATCCCCAGTACCAAAAAAAAAGAAGAGGGTTTTGCTATTGGTGCTATAATTTTATAGAAATTTATGAGTCTAAAATAAAGCATGGCATGAAATATAAAAATAAATGAGAAATTGCCTTTATTTTCATGAAGCTAACTCAAAAAGTTAAGTAAAACATAACCTTTGCATCTTTTGGTTCTAATGCAACATGATG